CCTAAAAAGACTCAAACAGAGGAAGATGTGAGGCCTAAAGATCAGAGACGGATAAGCTCTCCTAGAAAATTGAGATCTCGACACAATTGAAACTATGGAGGAAATTGGAATCTTTTCAATAAATATAAATGGTCTTAACTCCCCATCAAAAAGGAGTAAAATATTTCATAGACTACAAAAGTTAAAAATGGATATAATCTGTCTCCAGGAGACACACATTAAGTTACAACATTCTAGAATACTTGAACAATTAAAACTTGGCAAACTTTATTTTTCCTTGACATCACAAAAGAAAAGAAGGATAGCTTTATATATAAAAGAAAAGATGAATCCAAAACAAATTTATGCTGATGAAGAGGGAAGAATACTGATGGTTGAGATTACATGGAATCAAAAATAAATATTGATGGTTGCGATATACGCTCCCAATGAGAAGCAAGATCAATTTTTTCAGCAATTATATGATAAACTTGTGGACTTAAACTACCATAGCTTGTGTATACTTGGAGACTTTAATGCAATTGTTGATCCAGTACGGGACTATAAAAGTTACAAACAGGGGGGAAAAGGAAGTAATATCTTACCTAAATCCTTTCTAAGAATGAAAGATGACTCTGTATACAGGACATTTGGAGAGAGATGTACCCGGAAAAAGCACAATACACCTTTTATTCTAACAAACATAAATCGTGGTCAAGAATTGACATGATATGGACTTCTTTGGACTTAACGGTCATGATACAAGAAATTGAAATAGAATCTAATATTTGGGCAGACCATAATTCAATGAAAATGACCTGGAAAGGACTTAAGAAAAGCCAAGATGGTCCTTGAATAAATCAATATTGAAAGAAAAGGAGTTTTTACAATTTGCAATAAAATAAATGGAATTCTTTTTTAAAGTCAATAAAAAAGAAGAAACCTCTATTCAAATTGTATGGGACACGGCAAAAGCATATTTTAGAGGTTTGGCCATAACTTATCTTGCTAAAAAACAACTTAGTATGTTGGAAGCTGAATTACAATCAGACCCTCAAAAGAAAAAGTTGAAAATACAAATGGAACTATTAAAACATAAGTTAAACTTACTTGAGACAAATACAATGGCACAACAGATTAAAAAGTCCAAACAGAATTTTTTTGAAAATGCCAATAAACCTGGGAGATGGCTGGCATATAGATTAAAAAAAGAAAGAGAAAAAAGATTAATAAGTAAGCTACGGGATACGGACGGTGACCTATAATGTCACAATGACTTAATGAAAAAAATTACGAAGAAGTATTATGAGACACTGTATAAGGCAGAGACGGTTTCTAAAGATGTAACTCAGGCTTATTTAAAAGAAGCAAATCTCCCAAAGGTTCCTGAGAATATGCGTCAGAGGTTAAACGAGAATGTTTCAATGATGGAGATTACAGAGGCAATAAAAAAGCAAAAGCAAGATAAAACACCAGGACCTGATGGCCTTCCTGCTGAATTTTATGTAGCGTTACAAGATACTATAACTCCAACCTTGAAAGACTTATGTAATGAAGTTTTTACACAGACAAAAATACTGGATTCATGGACTGAAACTAATATTACTTTGATACCTAAAGAAGATACTGATCATACACTAATTAAAAATTATAGACCAATATTGTTACTAAATGTGGATTACAAAATCTTTGCTGCAATAATGGCAGAAAGAATGAAAAAAATTTTGAATGAATTTATACACCCAGACCAAAATGGTTTCCTACCAAAAAGACAGATAAAGAACAATTTGAGGATTATTTTAAACGTTTTGGAGTACTATGAAATCCATCCAGGGAACCAGATGGCACTTATATTCCTTGATGCACAAAAAGACTTTGATAATTTAAATTGGCAATTTATGTTTCAGCAACTTCAAGAAATGGACTTTGGTGAAAATTTTAACAAAGCAATTCAAGCAATTTATAAGAAACAAACAGCAAGAATACTTTTAAATGGAGAGTACACAGATGGATTTGAGATTTAAAAAGGCACTAGACAGGGATGCCCATTGTCTCCTTTGTTGTTTATTCTTACATTAGAGGTTCTGGCAAGAAATATCAGACAAGATACAGAAATTAAAGATCTGGAGATTAAAGACCAGAAATATAAACTACAGGCCTTTGCGGATGACTTGGTTTTCATTCTAGAGGAGCCATTGCAAACAGCTGATAAACTCTTGCAGAAAATCGAGAAATTTGGAGAAGTGGCTGGTACATACTACTTTCAGAATGGGAGAAAATTAAACATAAAATATATATCAAAATACCTGAGTGGCTTTCAACAATGGAAGCATTTGCTTATCCAAATCTGATTAATTATGACAAACTGGTTAGTTATAAAGACATTTTAGACAAAGAGGGAAAACTTAAGGACAGGCAAACTTTACAACTACAAGGTATTGACTTGACATGGTGGTCCTAATTGCAAATTCAAACAAGATACGAAAAAGATATAAAATCGACAGGTTTTTACAAAGAACAGACCCCATTGGATAAAATTTTGTTAAAAACAGATGAGAATTTGATTAGAAAACTCTATAAATTTCTTTTAAACTGGAAGATGGAAGAAGAACAAGTGAAAGAAACAATGATAGTATGGGCAAAGAACTTTGGATATTCTATAGACTTGGAAGACTGGCAAAATCTTTGGGATAAAAATATTAAGCTTACAAAAGCGGTAGCATATAAAGAAAACTTATATAAGATGTTTTATAGATGGCATATGACACCAGTTCGTTTAGCGAAAATGTTTAAAAATGTTTCGGATATCTGTTGGAAATGTAAACAACAGCCAGGCACTTATTACCATGCCTGGTGGACATGCCCTATCGCTAAGAAATATTGGTCTGAGATCCATAGATGGTTGGAAAAGATGATGAAACTACAGATAGAATTTAAACCGGAATTGTTTTTGTTAGGAATATTAAGACCTAATTATGGTAAAGAGAATGACTACTTGATATTGCATGTTTTAACTGCTGCAAGGATAGTATTTGCCCAATTTTGGAAAAATGAGAATTTACCATCTGACCAGACTATTATTACCAAAATTTTAGAGTGTGCAGAAATGGATAGACTAACATTAGAAATGAAAGGAAAAGATGATTCAATTTATTTTAGAACTTGGGAAAAATTTTATCAATGGTTAGAGACACGTTAGAACTTGAAGGATTCAATATTTTAGAATAGATGACTGATTTTTAATCGAGTTCTAACTAACACTTTGACGATATGATTTACTGATTTTCATTTACTTTTGATTGTTAGGATTTTTTTTTGAGATTTTACTAGTAGCGTTTACTTAATAGATTAACGTATTGGTTTACTAATTGTTTTTAATATGTTACAGTCTAAGCTTTGCTAAAAATGGTTGAATATGATATTTACTCATTATTATGATCCGGACGGTAGCTTGTTTGTTGAAATATGTGATTGTACCTATCCTTATTTTACCCTAATTCCCTATTTCCTTCCCCTCCCCCTTTCCTTCCACCCCTCCCTTTACCATACCTGTATTGTTCCTATTTTTCCTCATCTATATAAACTTAATAAAATTTTGTTTTAAAAAAATAATATATAAAATAAAAATGAAATATAATTTTAATAAAATTCGTGTATGTTAATTAAAACCTGTTGAAAATAATACTTGAAAGTACCTTCAAAAGAAACAGTACTAAAATGCTAAAACCATTATCATACATATCTATAAGTAGAACATAAGGTTAATTAAAACATTTTCATGAATGAAGGCAAATTATACATGTCCCAAGATAACGTTGCAGGATCCAATCTGAGTCAGTCACTGGAACCAGAGGTTTAAACTTCTGAGCTTTTGGACTCATGGTGGCCCATCCTCCAGGATGGGCTCCAGCACAAGTCCAAAAGCTCAAAAGACTAAATAAACCTCTGGTCCCAGTGACTGATCCAGATTGGATCCTGCAAGAAATTTGATTTTCTTACTGAATCAAATTATTGTAAATTACAGGTAGTCCTTGCTTAACCTTTCATTCAGCGACCATTCAGCATTATAACAGTGCTGAACTAGTGGCAGCCACAACCAGTTCTTGAAGTTTTGGCCATTCAGCATCCCTGTAGTCATAAATAAAAATTTAGATGCTTGGCAACTGGCCTGCATTTACAACTGCAATGTGTTCGTCAATTCCCCCCCCCCCATCTATTTCCCCCCTCTTTGTCCTTTTGGCCACTCTCCACTGCCACCCCTCTCAACAGACTTTACTTCTTTCTCTTACTTTTGGCCCAAAATCCAGTGTTGTGTGAGGATGCAGCCCTGGGATATGCACAGTGAGTGCAGCAGGACGTCAAAGCCTTGTCTGCCGAAAGGAGCTTGCCAGGCCCAATTAGGAAGAGTCAGTAGGACAGAGCCAGCAAAGGTGGCAATAGGACTAAGAGTTCCCTGGGTGATTATCAGCCTTATACAATGCCACCACCTCTACTACCATGGCTCCTTTACCAACTCTATCCCTCTGCTTCCTTCCTTGAGGGCCCAGCAAGCTCCCTTCGATATATGAAAGTCCACTACCTTGTTGTTCTTACTGAACATGTCCTAGAACCATGTCCTCAGCCAACCCCTGGGATCCTAGGCCAACAGAGGAAGGAAGAAGAAGTGAAGGTTAAAAGAGAATGGCAGGGATAGGTGACAGAGTGCTGGGTGAACAAAAGGGTGAAGACAGGAGGAAATGGAGGGGAGTTGACGTGGAAGGAAGATAGTAGTACTGTGGAGCCTTGTTGGCTGATTGGAGCTTTCCAGGCCCAAACTAGCTGTTCACACAGGACAAGAGAAATGTGAGGTCTTTGTTTAACTATTGCAACCAAGATGACCAGAACTACTGTTACTAAGTGGAGCATGATGTTTTGCCTAATAATTGCTTTGCTTAATGATAGAAATTCCAGCCCCAATTAGGACTAATTATCAGAAAAACAGCAAGATTATTTTTAATTTATTTTTACTATTATAATTTCAGAGAAGAAACATTCCAATGAAGCCACCAGATGATCTCAAAGTAAGTTACATTGCATCTCTAAACCTCCCCTTCTTGTAAAAATATATACTTTATTTTACTGTAAATGGTTCTGAAAATATAAAGGAAAGATTTTATTTATATAATAAATGAAGATAATAGATAGTTTATTATTATAAAATTGTTTACTCCAGTATTCCTCATCTTTATAACACTTTTAAATTTTACTCTTATTTCAGGAGAAAAGAATGTCATGTATTTTTTCCATGATTTTTCCTATTAAATTATTTGAAAGTCCTTAAATAAAAATCATACTATTTTCCTGCTGTAACTCTAGTGATGCAAAAATGATAGTTCCATAAGGAAAATGATTATAAAGTATAAATTAGCTTTAAATGTGATGTTTTTAGATTCCGTCAGTCCTCATAAAAGAAGAACATAAGTTAAATAATACTTGCCCAGATGACTCCAAGCAAAATATGGTAATATTTTTTTTAAGTTTAATTCTCTCTTAACTTATTTCAAATAGTTGGTTCTTACATTTCCTACCTCCTTTTTAATTTTCCTTTTCTTTCTTTTTTAAGATTACAGGCCTTATTTTTTGTCACTCCCTCCCTCCCTCCCTCCCTCTCTCTCTCTCTCTCACACACACACACACACACGCACGCACACACACGCAGATCCAGATCAAGAATACAGGTAGTCCTTAAAACTGTTTGTTTAGTCACTTTCAAAGTTACAACAAGACCATTTTTGACCATTTTTCACACTTATGCCTGCTTAGCATCTCTATAATCATGTGATTTACATTCGGATGCTTGACAACTGATTCATATTTATAAGAGTTGCAGTATCCCAGGGTCATGTGATCACCTTTTGCAACCTTCTGATAAGCAAAATCATTGGGGAAGCCAGATTCATTTAACAACTGTCTTATTAATTTAACAACTGCAGTGATTCACTTAACAAATGTGGCAACAAAAGTTTTAAAGAAGGACAAAACTCACAATAAATTTCTCACTTAGCAACATAAATTCTGGGCTCAATTGTGGTCATACGTCAAGGACTGTATTAACAGAGGGATAGAATCAAGATCACGTGAAGTATTAATACCACTTTACAATGCCTTAGTAAGGCCACACTTGGAATACTGCATCCAGTTTTGGTCACCACGATGTAAAAAAGATGCTGAGACTCTAGAAAGAGTACAGAGAAGAGCAACAAAGAAGATTAGGGGACTGGAGGCTAAAGCATATAAGGAACGGCTGCTGGAATTGGGTATGTCTAGTTTAACGAAGAGAAGGACGAGGGGGGACATGATAGCAGTGTTGCAATATCTCAGGGGCTGCCACAAAGAAGAGGGAGTCAAGCTATTCTCCAAGGCGCCTGAAGGCAGGACGAGAAGTAACGGATGGAAACTGATCAAGGAGAGAAGCAACTTAGAACTAAGGAGAAACTTCCTGACAGTTAGAACAATTAACCAATGGAACAACCTGCCTCCAGAAGCGGTGAATGCTCCAACACTGGAAGTTTTTAAGAAGAGACTGGACAGCCATTTGTCTGAAATGGTGTAGGGTACCTGCCTGAGCAGGGGGTTGGACTCGATGACCTCCAAGGTCCCTTCCAACTTTATTATTATTATTATTATTATTATTATTATTATTATTATTATTATTGTTATTGTTATTGTTGTTGTTGTTGTTGTTGTTATTGTTATTGTTATTGTTATTATCATCATCATCATCATCATCATCATCATCTGTACAGAGTTATTAAAGGAAAGAGTTCAGGGTGCAATGGATAGAGATTCCAGTAAGGATTGCTTGCTAGCAATGACTTTAAAATAGAGTCTCACCTATGCAACCAGTCACCAATGGAAATGTTCTTGCCCTACAAGAGCCAATCAGACCTTCTTCACTCAGCCCCCTATGCCTTAGGCCTAGAAGGAATCCAGAATCAGACCCCTTTTCTTCTACTGCATTTAACTACTTCACACACTCTGCAGCCAAATCACCCCAGGTGTCATAAAGCCTTTTTCCTAAGGGAAGATGCTATCCTAACATTATAGGGGAGAATATTCCATAATATTAGAAAAGCCACAAAAAAGACCTGTTTCTGCAACATGGAAGCAGATCCTTCCCAAAAAAACATACAGTACACAGGATAGACAGACTATGGTCAGGGAAGAGAGTTCTGCAAATACTGAGGGCTTAAGTCATAAACAGCTTGATAAGATAATGACAAGCACTTTGAAATTTACCTGGAAACAAATGCAGCCTCTGCAATACAGATGTTATTCTACTGAAATGATATTGGTCAGTCAACAATCAGGCATTTTTTATTTTGGACCAATTATAATTTTGGAACAATCTTCTAAGGGGCCCCCAATGCATGGTCCGTGGACTGGCATTGGTCCACCACATGCCAGCAACTAGTTCGTGCAAACAAGCAAAGCCCTATCCACGGGATGCAGGCAACATGCAATACTATGCCTCCTCCGATCTGTAGAAAAAACTTTCTCCACAGAACTGGTCCCTGGTGCCCAAATGTTTGGGGGCCACTGTTCTCATGAAAAACACATTACCGTGATCCAGCCATAATGTGATGAAGCTATTTGTAACTATTGACAGAACTTCTCATTCCAAGATCAGTCATACCTAGTATACCAACCTAACTCAGTTAAAGGTATCCCAATCATAGCCCCTATCTACTGCTCTAGAAATTCTAGAAGTCTAGAATTTCCAGATCATGTGACTGATCTTTCTAGGTTTATAGAATCTCATTTTAAGCCACAGTTGAAACCAACCTAGAGCCAAATGCTTTTCTGGATAAGTGATCAATCTTTCTTGCTGGGATTTAATTTGAACTATTTCTATCATCCAGTCTTACCCAGCATCCACACAGAGGTAAGGATCTATACACTATCTCCTGCTAAGTCAGTAAAGCTGGGTATTACTGACCTATTGATGACACCAGTTTCATGTAGATATTAAATAAAATGTTAAATAGTAATTATAAACACTATTCAGATATAATACTCCAGTGTTTCAGAAATAACTTTAAATTAACTAATGGATGAGTGTATCTTGAGTGTCTGTCAGTATATATGTCACTGCATGTACTAATTCGTTTGTGGGATGGTACAAGAGTATGGTAGCTCACAAAGTCCTGAATTAGACATAGCTTGCACATAATAGTTCAAATAGACTTGAAGTAAAACTCAGCTTTGTTTGCACGTAAGTATACTGTCCACAATATGCTCAAACTAACCAGTTTTATATGACTTATATGTACAAGGAATGTTGTATGTGACAGGCCCAGTAAATATGATAATTATGTCTATGTCTATTAAAATTTTGTGGATGCCTTGATTGACCAAAGCAAGGATGGGCAATGATAATCAATGTATCGGCCCATCAGTGATATCCATGATTTCTAAGGTGAATGTAAGAGAAATATGAAAGTACAGTAGTTTGATCTTGTCAAGTTGATGACTCAATTCTAGAAATAAACATTTAGGTTTAATTATGAAGGAACAAAAAGGCAAAAATGTATGTCAAAAAGTATGAATTGTAATTTCATTGGTGTAATTTAGGTTGTATTTATGAAAGTAAGGTAATCCACACAGCTTTTGGTTAGGAGTTGTGTTGAACAAACTTACATTACAAAATGATTCTGCAAACGTAACATTTGTTCCTGAATAAGAAAGTTGTTGCAAATAGCATAATTGCATATTTGCATAGTAAGTATTTTTTGACATTTGGCTGCTGTGTAGGAATAATGAAACATTTGTGAAATTTTACTTACATTTTACTAAATATTGAATTTATAGCAGCATTAAGCACAATAATGCTTATTGTAGCTAATTAATCCATTACATAGGTATAATTTTCTTTCTTTTTTCCAGATTGGAGAAGTCATTGGAGATAATAGTAGTTCTGTTTTGGACTTTTTATCTATGAAAAGCTATTCAGATATGTCACTTGATATATCCATGTTGAGTTCATTAGGTAGGTTTTCTCATGCAGTAGTTCAGCACTGAAGGTAAAAATACAGTACTATATATATATAATTTGTTCCATTAGTCCATTAAACTGCTTGGGAATTGCTGGGTTTTGACCAAAACTTTATAATATATACTTTGTTCCTTTTAATGCGTTGCTATGAAAATCATGGGTTCTGCTCTAGATGGCAGCACCAGGAGGGAGACAGAATTATAAAAACAATGTAATGTCTGCGTATCAGCATATGCTAAGCCTCTTTGCAGTTATAACATTGTGTGAATATGTGTGTATGTATATATGTGGGTATAAATATGTATGTATGTATGTAGCTAACAAAGCGAGAAAGAGCCTGTGGCCTAGTGGCTAACACCTCTGCTTAACAGGCAGACAGCCCAGGTTCGAATCTCAGAAGGGTATGTCTGGCTGATGAAACCAAATAAGGTTACAAATAGCTATCCCAGTACTCCCTTAATTCTTTGTTAGCAATCCAAATTTTGAAAAAATATACATATACAGTATATATACTTGTAAATATATACACAGCCTATGGCTGTGCTCCCAATGCTAAAATATGCTTACTCAATTTATTCCCTCTAAACTGCTCGGAAGAATGCTCAGCTCTAGCACTCCTTTTCTCAGAAAAGAATGTGTAAATCAAGTTATAAGATAACATATTAAGGAGAATCTTGCATTTTTAGCAGCCACATAATATAGTATCTGACAGGATTTCATCTGGAAGCATTGTTGTGCAAAATTAAGAGGTTTAAAACATTTTAGCTTTTTTTTTTAAAAAAATAATTGTTTAATTTGGATTCTGCTCAGACCATCAACAGGTCATCATGTATATTATGGTAATCACAGGTACCAAATTGCTGATTCCCAATTTTATATAGTCCTTAAAAGTTTTATGTAGTCCTCATATTATGTATAAATAAGGAAATCAGAAATGCTCTATTTAAAATAATTGTTTTAAAATCAGGAAGGATAAGAAGCTGGGTCAGCACCCAGGGAAGTTTCATATGCAACTTAGTCCCTATTAGCCTCATTCTTACATTTTATTCAGCATATATTGGTTTTATCTATCTTTATATAAAACTGATGGAGTAACAAATATTCTTGATTTTAACTTCTTAAACCATTTATCTCAAATTCATTTTGTACTCAATAATCTAAATTTATTGACAGGTAAAGTAAAGAAAGAACTTGATCATGATGACAATCATTTGCACTTGGATGAAACAACTAAATTATTACAGGACCTTCATGAAGTACAGACTGACAGAATAGGATCCAGGCCTTCCTCCAACCTTAGTTCCCTCTCTAATACTTCTGAAAGGGATCAACATCATCTAGGTAAATGTGTACTAAACTCTTTTTATTTTCATTAAAAGTTGTTTGTAAGATTATGAGAGTATCAAGTATATTCATGTTATCTAAGTAAAGCTAGATGTCTTTTTATCATCTAGCATCTAGTAAACTAGTTTTCTCTTCCCATTCCCATTCTACCTTCCTTATCTCAGAGATATTTTTTATCATAAATGTATATTAGAAATCTTTCAAATGGCAGAATATAAATACTAAATTCTAAATAAATACAGATTGAGAAATTTGTCCAAAATGCAGCATTATTATGTATTTTTATTTAAAATATAGATTTAATATTATTTTACCAAGTTAACTGAGATGGCCCTCTTATAATTCCAAATAGACATTTTAAATTTATAAACATTCAAACAAAATTATTGGCAATATAGAGAATCATAAAATATGTTATAAAAGTTATATTTTACAGTAAAAGAGTTTATTAACCTTGGAGTTTATTATTCACAGATAATTTATTCCATCATTCCAGAACACTACAGAAAAGTTTCTGCTCACCCTTAATAGGAGAAAGTAAATGTAAATTAGATGAATGGAGTGGTAAATTTAATTATGAGGCAGAACTTTTCAACAGAAGAAATGTTGTGGTGATCTTAATGTAACCTGCCTGCTAAATCTCTGAGAGCATTTATTTGTATAAAACTTGAAATGGTAGACCAGGACTTCTCCAGTCGCCTTTCAATCAGACCCATGTAGAAACAGCATAGTGTCAGGGCATTTATTGTTATACTGTATGTCTGGCTAGAGAAATCTTGGTCTGCCACTTTCTATAGCAATCATGTCATATCAGACCAGCAGCACAAACCAAAATGGCCATGAAAAAAGTTGAAATAAGGGACATACTTACAGGCAGAGCAGCTAAAAGCTGTCAGTAGGAATTGGTTAGATTTTAGCACTGCTATTACATTATCACAATTTCCACTGAAAGCTTGTATCAGGAGAAAATACCAGATCAGAAAAGCCCAAAGTTAACTGATCTCATTATATGCTGGAGATGAGAGGAAAGCTGTAGTATGCAGACATGTCCTTAAAAATTATATTTGCTGAGCTAAAATTTGGTCAATTATGAATGAATTTCAAAAATCTTGTCATTGTAAAACTGCATTATGAATTAGTAATGGTACATACATCTAATTTCTTCTTCCTGAGATAAACAGTTATACTATGTAGTTCAGACTGCAATAGCTTAATAAATGCTTATGATTTATTATATTAAAACTACTTACCTAATATTAAAATTATTAATTTAAAGTCAATAATTCTAGATGCAAATGTCTATCACTTCAATTACCAAAATAACTCTAGGTGGATTACACATTAAGATTGAAATAACCATAAAATTATAAAATAGAAAGCAAAAGTTATAGTCATACATTATGGAAGATAACCAGATTGAAATAACCATAAAATTATAAAATAGAAAACAAAAGTTATAGTCATACATTATGGAAGATAACCAACATTAAACAATTATAGCAATCAAGATTTAATTATCAAAGAATAGGTTATGTATTCTATTGCAAAGTCTTCTGGAACAACTAAGTTTTCACAGCTTTATGAAAGCCTTGCAAAAAGGCTCAGGAATACTGTATTCCACAGGGCAATGGAAAAGTTGCATTTCCTAGGTCTGACAGGATTGTAGTGCTTTACAGCCTGACTTGGTATTCACCAACTCTGGTTGGACAGAGACAGCAGAAGAAATATAGTAACTGATCCAGTAAAAGATAGTAAAAGTTAGTAACTGTAAGAATACTTTTCCATTCAAGAAAAGAATGCAACCAGCAACTCAGATTTATTTATTTATTAAGTTTCTGTGCTTCCCATTTCACAGTTCAAGGTTACTCTGGACAGATTTATGCAAAAGCCCTTCTGGGCCATAGCTGCCACCTGATTATTGAATCTAGGAGGATTCCCAAACTTTATCAGTTCTACTTGGAGAAATGTGATTCTGCCAAGAACTAAAGGGTTCAATATAAAGTTGGGTATTATTTGTATACTGATGATACCTGACCCCATGCATATGGATAGTCTTATCTAGTGGCCTCATGTTGATGTTGAATAGGAGTGGGGAGAGGATGAAGCTAGGTGGGATTCTGTATAGTAGGGATCTTGGATTAGATGTCACTTCACCTACCAATACCAAGCTATATCAGCTCTAGAAGAAGGGTGAGAAACATAGACAATACCTATCATTCCCAACCCTTGGAGATTATCATATTGTCCAGAAGGATGCTATGATTGATTTTATTGAACACCACTGAAAAGTCAGGTAGAACCAATAGGGTCACAATGCCCATTCCATTCTCACTATGCATAAGCACAGTCTCTGGCTGAACCCAGATCAGTCTGAAAAGGATTCTGATAAGTCACTTCCTTCAGACCCCTCTAACATTGCCATACCTTCATCAGTTTCTGGCAAAAGTACATGATGCAACAATAAGGAGACATACCATTGTTTTCTTTAAGACTGGTGGGATAGCCCTCTAACTCGAGGATGAATTCATCATTTGAATCCACTCAGTAGTTAACTCCTGGGATTCCTTGGCCAAAAAATATCAGGAAGTAGCACTAACGTTACCAAGGACCTTGTCCACTTTCTCAAGACTCACATGTTCAAACTCTTCTAGATAAATAGGGCAAACCCTCTCCCCAGTCAGTTCCACAGGAACTGTCCAGTCATCTTCAACTATAAACCAATTGGGACGATTATATCCTCACAAAATGTGGTTTTTCTCATAGCAGTCCTTAAGATGCTCTTTATGTGACTTGCAGTCTCTGATATTATTTTTTTTGCAAATATTTTATTAAGTTTTATAAGGGTAAAAAGGAAATAAGGTCAACAAAGGTATAACAAAGGGAAACATACAAAAAGATTAGACCAAGGGAAAAGGGTAAACACAATAGTGGGATTATTCCCACAAAATAACATCGCTTCAGCAAGTAAACCCGTCTGGGTATACATATTAAATCTTAATCATTACTCTAATATTAAACAGTTTTACAATAATTAATTTTATCTATAGTCATGTAAATAACAAGTTGATCAATATATCTCATTCATTTTACTAAATAATATCTTTAAAATATTAATATATTACTTATTAACTATAATTTACTTATTATTAAAATCACAACTAGGAAAAAGAAAAAAAAGAGATAATCAAAATAGACATGAAATATGAGTACAAATTATCAATTATCCCTTTAAGTTTCATAACCTTTTCTTGTTCTATCGTGTTGCTAACCACTGGTAAAATTTGTCCCATGTTATAAAATAAATTGTGTCTTCTTTCTTTCATTTCTAAAGTTAATCTATCCATTTTTGCTCATTCAAGTATTTTTGTTATTATAATCTGGTCAGATAGTAAATTTTCATTTTTCCAGAATTGAGCAAATACTATTCTCGCAGCTGTTAACACATGTAATATTAAATACTCATTCTCTTTTCCATAATTCAAACCTAATATTCCTAACAAACACAATTCTGGTTTAAATTCTATCTGTATTTTAATCATCTTTTCTAGCCACATATGAATCTTAAACCAAAATTTCTTAGCATTAGGGCATATCCACCAGAGATGGTAGTAAGTGCCTGGTTATTGTTTACATTTCCAACACATATTTGTAATATTTTTAAACATTTTCTCTAATCTAACTGGTGTCATATGCCATCTATAAAACATTTTATATGTTTTCCTTATATGCAGCTGCTTTGGTAAATTTAATATTTCGGTCCCATAGTTTTTGCCATTCTTCTAAGTCTATGGAGTGACCAAAGTTCTTTGCCCACACTATCAATGTTTCTTTCACTTGTTCTTCTTCCATCTTCCAGTTTAACAAAAAATTATGAAGTTTCTTAATTAAATTTTCATCTGTTTTCAAAAGTATTTTGTCTAGTGGTGTCTGTTCTTTGTAGAATCCCGTTAGTTTTACATCTTTTTCATATCTTGTTTGAATTTGCAGATATGACCACCATGTTAAATCGATACCATATTGTTGAAGCTCTTGCCTATCTTTAAGTTTTCCTTCTTTATCTAAAATGTCTTTATATGCCACAAGTCATAATTAATTAAGTTGTCATAATTAATTAAGTTCGGATGCGCAAATGCTTCCATTGTTGAAAGCCACTCAGGTATTTTCATATAAATTTTATTTTTAATTCTCTCCCACTCTGAGAGTAATACATTCGTTATAGCATGAGTTTGAAAGTATTTATGTACTTTATTTTTCTCGTACCACAAGAAAGCATGCCAACCCAGTTGCAAATCATGTCCCTCTAAATAAAGAAGTCATTTGTTTCTCAGTGTAAGCCATTCTTTAAGCCAGGGGTAGTCAACCTTTTTATACCTACCGCATGTAAGTACCGTGGATAGAGCCACCACTTGTCTGCGGATAGTATTGGGCACCAAGCCCTTGTTGAGCCCCTCCAATAAATAGTCCAAAATTCTCGGGATGGTAATAGCGGAGAAATCTAACTGGTTCTTTGCACACCAATGACAGAAACTTCTCCATGTGGAGTCATAAATCCTGTTTATTGTAGGCCATTGGGAGGCCTGAATCATAGCAATTACGTCTGATGAATAGGACTCATGTGTCAGGAGCCGCCGTTCAAGTGCCAGACGGTTAACTGGAGCCACTAGGGTTCTGGATGTTGCAGAGCTCCCTGGCTGAGTGCAATGCAACCTGGAGGAATCCTCCACGGGAGAGAGATAAAAAGGCTCACAAGGTTGGCAAACCATGGCCGTCTTGACCAGTGTGGAGCAACCAATATCACCTCTGCCCATTCCTGCAGTATCTTCCAGATGACTCCCAGGATCAAAGGGAGAGGAGGAAATGCATATAGCCGTCCCCCGGGCCATGGATTGCCAAGGGCATCTGCTCTCTCCGCCCCTGGAGTGGAAACCAAGAGAAAAAACCTCGGAAGCTGGGAGTTCACCAGAGAAGTGAACAAATCCAGTACCAGATGACCGAACCTCTCCGATATCTCCCTGAAGAGATTGGGATGCAGACGCCACTCGGAGTGATCCACTGTCGACCTGCTGAAGAAATCCGCCTGCTGATTTGCCTCTCCCGAGATGTGCTTGGCTCTGAGAGAAGAGAGGTTGATCTCTGCCCAGGATCCCAACAATTGGACCTCAGCCATAAGGGACCTGGAACGGGTTCACATGGGCTTTCGCCGCCATGTTGTCTGTGAGGACTAGAGCATGTTGTCTTGCCACCTTGTTGCCGGAAGTGGCGTAGGGCCTGATGTACGGCTCTGAGCTCCAATCATTTTATGTTGTGCTTCAGGTCTGATCGGGACCACTGGCCCTAAGCCAACTGAGATTGTAGGTGCTCTCCCCAGCCGAACAAACTGGCATCTGAAGTCAGGATGAGCCAGTTGGGTTCCTTGAACACCGTCCTCCTGGCTACTGCTGGGGAGTTCCACCACTGGAGGGATCTTAGGGTCTGAGACGGAACCCTTACCCATTGGTTGGAGGAGCTGGTGCCCAGTCTCTGAAATGGGAGCAAAAACCATTGCAGGTTCCTGGAGTGTAGTCTGGCTCATGGCACTATTGCCATGCAGGAAATCATCTTCCCTAACAATTGGGAAAGTATGGCCAGTGAAACTACACGCTCCCTTTTGACCTGGAGGACTAGGGCTCGGATGCTGTCCTGACGTTCCCGAGATAGATAGACCTCGCATAGTCTTGTGTCTATTACCACGCCCAGGTGAAGAAGGCGGGTTGAGGGAACTGTCTGGCTCTTTTGGAAGTTGACCGAGAACCCGTGGTCTTGGAAGGTCTTGATAGGCAAGGCCAGGTCTGACTGAGCCTCTCAAGGCCTTCGCCATGTCTCCCGACAACATGAGGAAGAGAACAATGGTGTCAAGGGTTCATCTACAATAGGGAGCAGCTAACACCACTGATAGTGCTGGGTCCACATTAAACAGCCTGGTAAAGGTGGTTTCTATAGTTGTAAATGTTGGCTCTGGTCTCAGAGGCCTGACCCTCATCGCAGGTGCAGGGATCTAAAGACCGGGCCCATCGCTGGAAGGGGCTATCTCCACCTGTTCTGCCCTGCTTTGTCGCTTATCCACTTTGGGGAATTGTTTCTCTGTTTAAGCCAAAGCAAAATAGCAGCTTGATAGTAAAGTCTCCAGTCCAGGAGGCCAAAGCCCCCTCTATCTTTTGATTCTTGTAACAGTTTAATTTTAATTCTTGCTTTTTTCCCTTGCCATATAAATCTCGTTATTGTTGCATTTAAATCATCAAAACAATTCTGGCTTAATTTGACAGGAACCGTCTGAAATAAAAATAGTAGTTTAGGTAGAATATTCATCTTACCAGTCGCCATCCTTCCTAACAATGATAATTGGAAATTTTTCCATTTTTCCAAATCTATTTTTATTTGTTTCAATAGTCTATCATAATTGTCTTCTTTTACTGTTGTGTATTTTGATGTTAAGTAAATACCTAAGTATTTGATTTTTTTACTATCTGAAGATTTGTTTTTTTTAACAAGTTGAACTTTCTGTTTTTCTGTTAGATTTTTTGTAAGTACTTTAGTCTTTTCCTTATTTATTTTCAGCCCAGCAACTTCTCTGAATTCCTCTATTTTCTGCAACAATTTAGTGACAGTCTCTGATAATTTTTTGTAGCCCTCGGAGCTTTCTTTAACTTTAAAAGTAAGGCCAACAAAAATCACTATTTTGGAATCTGAAATATAGAAAAGCTGGAATGTAACATGAATAGTAAGATTTACACAGCTTTAATAAAAGAACTTTCTTGGCATTCCAAAGAATAAACAATTAAAAAAATTCCAGTCTGTAGCCTTCTCTGTACTGTTAAATTTGGCAACATTTTTTGACTATTAATAAAATTGGCATTATAATTTGGATCATATTCACTTAAAAATTGTGATAGACATTTGAAAAGTGAAACTTTCAAAGTGCCTCATAATTAATATTGATTTAATTATTTTCTGTCCATGTTTTACACAGGAAGCCCATCTCACCTAAGTATAGGAGAACAGCAAGATATGGTCCATGACCCCTATGAATTTCTTCAATCTCCAGAATCTACAAATGTCAATAATTAATCTCAATTATACTGTACATATTAACTGTATAACAGTTAATAGAATCCCATGAAACAGTATGCATTTCAACCCCAGCCTCCAAATAAGAATTAATGTTTAGTAATATGTATACATTTTACTTGGATAAAAAATGTCATGGTATTTGTACTATCAGAAATAATATTTTAGCAATATGTGCAATGGACCTGAAGGAGTTACAAATTATGTACTTAAAAAAAACTTGTTTATAAAAAATGGCTAACCAGCTGTTTATCATGCTTTTGATTGTTACACATACTTGGTGTATAACTATGTATATAGAAAATTTGCTAGATAAATTTATTTCATTTGTAATACAAGTTTTAGAAATAGAATAGTTTTCGTATTTTCCCTCCTGTCAGTTTTTCATTGCCAAGATGGCCTGATGAAAAGAAAGTTATTGACTCGTCATGAAAAATGAAAAAGTACTCTTTAGAACTTTTTAAAATTAAGTATTTGAAATTTGATATTGAATGATTTTTAAACATTATGTGGAAACCAGAATAATACATTCATTTACAGTATTCCAAATATTAATAAATGTGTACGTGTTCTGAAGTTTGCTGTTCATAATTTGTCAGCTAGTTGATAATTAGTTATCTTGAATTAATTATGATGTTCTATATATGCATCAGTTTAAGATTGCAGTTTTAAGATTCCTGTAGCAGGGGTCTCAAACCTGTGACCCAAGAGCTGCATGCAGGCTGCTGAATTATTTTGTATAGCCTATATTAACTCAACATCAAGCTCAGCTTCTCACTTTTTTTTGTCTCTGAAGGGGTCTATGATGACTCACTGCAGCCAGGTGGGCATGACTCGGTAGGCGTGGCCATCTGAGTGCCGCCAGGTGGGTGTGGGTGAGTGGGCATGGCTGGATCGATGCAAAGAATTAGGTACAGCCCACTCGGGACGGATGATGGGATGGGAGGGTAGACGTGGCCAAGTGGATGCAAGTATTGGGAAAATCACAGTGCATAGGGGATGTACCAGTTTGTTTTCTTTGATTGCCTCACTTTACTGGTCTATGTCTTCCTATGCACATCATTCCTTTGGCAAGAGATTCTCATATTACAAGCAAGAGTAGCATAAGAACATAAGTCATAAGAATATGAAAAATGCAGTGATAGCCCAAGCCTTGTCCTATCCTGTATTCTCAGAGACTGGACAGTCACTTGTCTGAAATGGTCTAAGCCACGGGTCGGCAACCCGTGGCTCCGGAGCTGCATGCGGCTCTTTGAGCCTTCTCCTGCAGCTCCTAGCCTCCTCTGCCATTTGCAGAGAGAGAGAGACAGAGAAAGGCACTTGCGCTTCCCTTCTCTCTCTCGCTCGCTCTCTCTAAAAGAGAGTGGCCTCATGCTGTTCTCCGACAAGCTGACAAGCTTATTGGGCGGGACTCCTGCCTTGGCTTTGTCTCTGCAGGAAGCAGGAAGGGCAGGAGAGAGCCAGCCCAATAAGAATGTGTGTCAGCTTGTTGGAGAACAGCTTGAAGCCAGCTTGCCAGGTGAGCAGAAAATCAGAGAGAGGTAGAGAGAGGAGGGGAGAGAGAGAGAGGAATGAGAGGGAGGGAGAGAAAGAGAGGGTGAGGGGGGAAAGAAAGGGGGGAGAGAAAGGAAAGGGAGAGGAAAGGGAGAAAAAGAAAAAAAAGAAAGAGTAAGAGGAGAGAGGGAAGAAAGAGAAAGGGAGAGGAAAGAGAGGAAAGAGAAAAGGGGAGAGGGAGAGGAGAGAGAAGGGGGAGAGGAAAGGGAGAGAAAAAAGAGGAGAGGGAGGGAGAGAAAGAAGGGGGAGAGGAAAGTGAGGGAGGAAAGAGCAAGGGAGAGAGGGAGAGGAAGGAAAGAGGGAGAGGAAAGAAAGAGAGAGAGGGAGAGGAAAGAGAGAGAGAGTAAGACACACACAGAGAGAACTCATGCACAGCAGCCTCTATTTCTTTTTAAAACTCTTTTTAAAACTCTTCAAAACTTCAACTTCAAACTTCAAAAAAACTTCAAAAACTTCTTTTTAAAACTCTTCAAGTTTTGCAGCTCCCAGTGTTTTCTCTGGGCTCTTTGAGTGATTTAAGATTGCAGACCCCTGGTCTCCTGCTGGAGCAGGGGATTGGACTACAAGACCTCCAAAGTCCCTTTCAGCTCTATTCTGATTGATTGATAAAGTGAGAACTTGATATCTATCAGAAAGCCACCCCACTAGATGGCTGAATGTAAGTAATGTAACTAAGAATGCTAGTAAGGATGAATCCTTACTAACAATAACAAATATAGATAAACAAAAATAAACAGAGGTTTCTCTGCCAACTTTGGCAGAGATTCCCCCCACCACATTTGGTAAAACTCTCCTTTTTGGGGGGTGGTATATTCCCACCGCCAGGGACTCAAATGTGAGCTCTTAACTCCAACACACTCTCTCTGTGTGTCTCTCTTCCTCCCTCTCTCCTTGATTAGTTACCCCCACATTGTGACATCAATAAATTATAAAAAGGTGTAAGAGTACAACATAAATCAAACTTTTATTAAGCTATTGGATAATTGTATGCCAGACATGTCAAACACAAGGCCCGGGAGCCGGATGCGGCCCGCAAAGTGGTTTCATGTTGCCCATGAAGCCATCCTGAAAACAGTGAGGGAACGGCCCCCACTGCCTTGGCCCTGGCCCAGGCTGGCCAGCCGGGAGCCAATGTACAATTTTGTGGTGGCCATCTATGCTGAAACGCATTCAGTCTTAGCTCCACACGGCCGTCTGGAAACAGCGAGGAACCAGCGCCTACCGCGTTGGCCCCACCCCCTGGGTGCATGCTGGGGAGGTGTCACCCTTTGTGAGGAATGAAGAAATGCACCATCGCCTGGAAGTGGCCAGCAAATGGCCCTCACCTACTTCACATATCCGGCTCCGGAGGAGGGGTTTCGGCAGGCACCGGGGTGCTCTCCTCATAGCGCCAGGAGGCTGAGCCGGGTGGCGCGAATCTGATGAAAAGTGCAATGCTGCCTAGCCCCCAGCCTGCCCAGTTTCAGCAGGCAGCAAGGTGCAAAGCTGGTGAGCTTTGCACCGCCTGGCTCAACCTCTCAGCACTGTGAGGAGAGCGCCCTGCTGTCTGCCGAAACCAGGCAGGCTGGGGGCTGGGCAGCGTCGTGCTTTTTGGATTCATGCCGCCTGGCTCAGCCTCTCGGGGATGTGAGGAGAGCGCCTTGCTACCTGCTGAAACTAGGCAGGCTGGGGATTGGGCGGCATTGCGCAGGTAACGTTGACTCTCACACTGCTCATGGCATCCCCTCCCCCAGAGCCCATCAAGCTGGATATGTGAAGTAGGCGAGGGCCATTTGCTGGCCACTTCCAGGCAATGGTGCATTTCTTCATTCCTCACGAAGGGTGACACCTCCCCAACTGTGTTTCTTGCCTGTTTTTCTCCCTCATCTCAAATATTTTCCCACCACTCTGTACTTAGGAAGGAAGTGTCGTGATTCCGTGCCAGCCTGTGTTCCCAACAGCTGAGTCTGGGAAATCTGAGGAGGAGGCATTTGAAGGGCGATCAGGGTCAGAGGGAGGCTCTGATGAATTACAAGACTCAAGGTTTGATGAAGAGCCTGGGGCCTCCAGTCGTGTTCCTGATGAAGCTCAGCTGTGTGGGGAGAATGAGTCAGACTTGGAGGATTCACACTTGATGGACATGATGATTGATGCTTGTAGACGCCAGCAATTAGCGAGACCAGATCAGCAGCAGTCAATACGACAACTCAGGGGAGGAGGAGAAGGCACTGAGAGGCAACGCCTTGGGACTGCTGTATAAAAAGGGAAGGTGTGGGCGGTGCTGGTTGTTGAAGGCAACCGTTGCAAAGTACTTCATGGGATCATGTTCTGTTAGTATTGCCGGTGACTACTTTTCTGTTTTCATCATGTTTCGTATGGACAATTTCCTCCATTTGGATTGTGTTTTGCTGCTTTTGTTTCTGGACTATTTGGCAGGTTGGTTACCCATATTAAAAGGGGTTTGTTTTGTTTTGAGTCTCCAGCCTATTTTCTCAACAGGGGTTTTGTCCTTGTGCCTTTAACAAGGACGGCTATAGGATGGGATAGAACAGGAAAGAAGGAAAGGAGAGGGAGGGTCTGAGGGAAGTCCTGCCTTAGTCCTGCCCTGCTGCCCTTTCAGCATCCCCTTGCCTATCCTGGGAGTCTCCCATCCTATTGCTAAGGAAGCTTTGGATACAAAGTTGGGTCTCCTTCCATGGAGAGGGAATGGGCCTCCCTCTGACTTTGCCCTGTTACCCATCATGAACAACCTGGCTAAGGAGAGCAAGCACAGCAGCAGCAGCCTTGAGGAGGAGGTAAGTGCAGCTGGGCTCCCCCTTGGGGAAGTGGGGCTGGGCTTGGTGCCACAGGTGCTCGAGGGTCAGGCTGGGCATTTGACCTCTGCTGCCCAGGGCTACAGGCAGCCCGCACCACCATCCAGCCCCCCCACATGGCCTGAGAGGAACAGTGAGGCTCCTCCAGTGGACCATACCTTGGCACTTGCCCTGGTCCCACCCCCTTCTGCCAGAGACCCTCAGATCTGTTCCACTCCTGCCCAGGCCCACACAGGCACCATTAATGTGAACAATGAAGAGCTGGCCATGCCCGCCCAGTAGGCCACACCCACTCTATCCACGCCCAACCAGTAGGCCGCACCCACCCTGGCCACACTCACCCGGCCCCCCCAAGGGCAACTGCAATGCTGATGCAGCCCTCAATAAAATTGAGTTTGACACCCCTGCCCTAAAGGGGGAGGGGGAAAGCCACCCTTTGCTTTTCAAATTTTCCCGCTTTCCTGCTTCCTGTTTGCCAGCACGTCTCCGGGCGATATTTGGTCTTTTGGGGTGACGAGTTGGCTCCGCCTCCAGTTGCCTGCGGCGACTTGTTCTGTGCCTACCTGGACACACCCACCTGGCACCCCCTAGCCAGCCACACCTACGTGCTTGCATCCACTTGGCCACGTCTACCCACCCATCCCGTCATTTGCCCCGAGTGGGCTGCACCTAATTCATCGCATTGGTCCAGCCACGCCCACTCACCCACACCCACCTGACGGCACTTAGATGGCCACGCCTACCAAGTCATGCCCACCTAGCTGCAGTGAGTCATCATAGACCCCCTTCAGAGACAAAAAAAAGAGTGGAGAAGCTGAGCTTGATGTTGAGTTAATGTTGGCTCCACCTCCAATTGCCCGTAGTAACTTGTTCTGTGCCTACCTGGCCATGCCCACCTGGTGCCCCCTAGCCAGCCACACTGACCTGCTTGAGTCCACTTGGCCACGGCCATCTACCTGCTCCTAGCCATCCGCCCCGAGTGGGCTGCACCTAATTCTTTGCGTCCATCCAGCCACACTCATTCACCCCCACCCACCTGGCGGCACTCAGATGGCCACACCTACCCAGTCACGCCCACCTGGTTGCATTCCCCTCTGAAGGCCTCAGCTTTCTGTCCTGCTTCGCAGGATTTCTTTTCCCCACTCTTCATATTTGCAGGAGCATTTTTGCAAGACTAAATCTCATTTGCAGCTATGATAGCACTGGTGATGATTCTAGATATAGGGTAAC